TCACCATGGGCTGGTAAGAGAAGGTCATGTTTAATACAAGCGGCCCCCGGGCTGCCGCTCTCTATGCACAGAGTAAGCACAGTACATGGGGCACAATCATCTCTGTAGGGGTTCCCAATTTTAGCAATGGTGACATCATCACATGCACTCGCCATGCACGATCGCTCCATTTTATTTATTTATTTATTTTTAAGAATCATTCGATTCTTTTAGTCAATACTATAAAATTCTCGGGCTGTATGGCACATCCATTCAAATCATATCTCAGATGCACAATGACTCTTACGAAAGGCTGCTTTTTACTTCGGTGTGTTCCAACTTGTATTTTAAATGTTTTGCATTTCATTTCATGAAACCATGACAGTGATTAGTCTGACAAACAATGACCTCTCAGCCATGTAACGTGCCAACGATTGTGTATTAAAAAAAAAAAAAAAAAAGTGTTCCTAAGAGTTTTTTGGGACTCTGTACACATCTTTGATGCGTGACTTAGAGAGGCAAGTGAGAACTGAATGGTGATGGTTCACAGCTTGTGTTGTAAATGAGCTAATGAACCGCTTTCCCCTTTACTTTTGGTGATGAATTACATCTTGTAGTCCCAAACTTGTATTGCGTTACAGGAATAATATTACGAAAAATATAATGAATAACTTACTCCTACTGCCTAAATGTAATATATTACTTTGGTAACGTTCACCCCCCAACACTGGCCTTTTATGCTTCTATATCAACCATTCACCTTGGACGTGTTCTCTACTTGACATGTGGTGCTGTGCCCTCGCACCGCTTCTGTTTTACATGCCAGGTTGCGTAGGAATTTTTTTTTTCCCCCTCTCTTTACAAGTCAGCTCTTTAAAATGTTATCTTCAAGGAAGTGTGTGAAAAATTCCCTGTGATTTTACCAGAAGAAGATGGGGAAGGAGTGAGAGGATTCACCAAAGCGGGAGATGTTTTTTTTCAAGACATATGCGTGTGTCGCTTTAGTGTGTGCATGTAAATGTGTGAATTTACATAATCTACTGTCTGTGTGCAGGCATTTTTTGCATCTCCTTTCTTCCCAAGGATTCACCTTCTCGAAGCAAAACCTATTTGTTATAATGGAAGGCGTCAGCTATTTATCATAATATGATTATTCACCATGACACATCCAGTGATTAGTAAGATGGATGGTCGCTCTGTGTTGAGAGTCTCCATCAATGACCTTGTGCATGTTGCCTGTGCGTATTGTGCCACCAAATATGCTGCCGACTTGCAGCTGCAGTGTTTTGATTCATTGACGTGGCATTCCCTTCCCGTTTGCTGTGTACTTGCATTAGAAATGCTGCCTGTTCTGTTACTGTTTAAGCTGACATCACTGGATTGAGTGTATAACCTGTTGGTTGGTCGATGAGAAGGTTTTCACCAGTTTACTCAATATGGATCTCATGTGCACTCAACACTTTTCGGGAAGAAGAAAAAGTTGCGATTGCTCTTTGTAAATACAGGTAGGGGCTAAACGTGCATTTGTTAACCGACAGGTGCGATCACAAAAGGAATACCGTTTGATGACATCATGTGCTGAACGGACTATGATCTAAGCATGTTTGCCGATGACAGTAACATGAGGACTCCTTCCATGACACTTTTGACATTTGCGAAGGAGAAAGGGACTGACATTTAACTGTAGACTGAACATCAATGGTCATTTCACACATGACCCCAATCAATGAGTATTACAACAAAGGACACCAAAACAAACGAAACACAGTACTGTACACCTAAACTATACAATGAGCCACGAGTCCAAGATCTCAATCAAACGTACAACAGGAATAAACAAA